AAAAAAAAAAAGCTTCTCAATAATTTGCTGCCACTTCTAAAATGTATAGTTGTGAAAACTAAACCAACTTACATGGATCAAACAGCTGTAATGTACACTGATGACGGTCAAACGTTTGTAAAACTTGGTGGAAAAAAAAGATTGATATAAAACAAAAAATGAAGAAAGGATTCTAGAAACAAACTTTAATGCCGCATTACCATCGCATTACCTTCAATGCCGCATTAGCCTTTCCATCGTCTTCTCTCTCCCAGCTTCACAAATACTGTATTTTTTTCTGCTCAGTTTCCCTGTCCCTCTTTTTCGTTTTAATCTTATTTTAGGTCAAAAATACTTCAAGAACCAACTTACCTTAATAGTGTAATAAGAAAAAAAAAAATAAAAAATGAAGATAAATAAAGCAAAAAAATGAAAATTATTGTAGAAATAGAAAAAAATCGACCCCTACAATAACAAATAAACAGATAACAAATCAAGCTGCTTACTTTTCATTATACATACTTTTATGGACACAGATAATTTTATTTGACAAATCTTTTCTTCGTTTATTCATCCAATACCATATACAGGTAATACCGGCATTGATACACTACACTGCACCACGTCTTCCAGATAAGCCAAAACAATGAGAAAAGAAAAATTAACTAAAATTTATTCCAACTTTAATTTATATGACAAATTCATTGAACAATTCATTGAGATGCACATGAAAACTACTGGTCAGCAGTGCATGAAAATTCTTCATGAATATTCCTACCACCTTTTTTTTCTTTTGACACTTTACCAGTGTCTAATACAGTCGCCTCTAATACGCAATTAGAGTCTGTCTAGGCATCTAAGTAGGACCAATCAATCTAGAGAATCTAATAAACAAACTAAAATGGAAATTTGAGGACGCACACGGGTTAGCGACGAAAAAAAAAACGCTGCTGCAGTTACGCGTCTCTACTGCCAAATATGCTTTTCTTTGCCCGTCAACTTATACCTCTTAGCATTTAAGGTTCCTATTCCGCCTGAACCATCTGGGGCAGTGGTAGACCTGCTTGTGTACTTCTTGTTAATTTTCTGACGATCCAGTGCAATTGAATGATTCTAATCTTTATGACGTTCCATACAGGCAGTTTGACAGTGGCGCATTTTTAATCGGCACCGATTACATTTTGTAAACATGGTACCAGAATTTTGAAAACAGTTTAAGTTCAGTCCTCCTGAACCGTTCTGACCTCTGTTTCCACATTTCTCGACTGTTATCTGATCTACCCTAAAACACCTACATAATCACAGTGTTCCTGCTGTATGTACAGAACTTACTGACCTAGTGCTTCCAATGACTGAGGAAGTTGCTGTCGGAAACGCCTCCCACAGAGACTCCTTTGGTCATTTAAGATATAGGCGA